CCCCGATCCCCACTTCCCCGACTTCCTCCCTCCCACACACAACCCGTGCGCGATCCGCCAAGTCCGCTTCCACCCCCCCCTGCCCGACTTTTCCCCCATGTTCCCCCCCTATCATCATTATCATCATCGTCATCAATCTACCCGTACCCTACCTACCACGCTATCACCCATTCAATCGTAGATAGGATCGCTCCGCCCTCGATTTACATCAAAATTCATTTATTCCTTTATTTATTATTATTATATTATTATTATTTTTCTAGAATTCATTCTAAAATTTTTGAAAATTCGAAAATACTTCATCAACTATCTATCTCGACATTTCTTTCCCAAAAATATTTTCTTTTTCGATTTTTTTGAAAATACGTAGGATTAAGCATCCTTTCTCGGCATCTGCAAGGAAGATGAGCAATGGCGAACTTCAGCAATCAAACAGCATCATATTCACAAGACCAGATAGTCGTGACCTCGAACCAACAGCAGAATTGCATCACGAGTTTCACCAAATAAGAAGACACCAAGAGCTCAAAATTGACAATGCTGGTAATGTCTCATCATCATCATCAATGAAGAACCAATGTTGATATCCTATCTGGCGCTCAGCGCTCAGACTACAGATGGCAGATCCTATCTAGCCTAAACTACAAAGCCGAAAGATGACGTCAACAACTTTCCCGAAGTACAAGCATACAGCGACCAATGTCGCACGCTCCAGCACCAGGTATGTCTCTCGCCACACTCACAACCTCGTTCCCCAACACACAGATGCCACTTGCACCCAAGGACCACTCTGCGCCACACCCAGCTTACAGCAGCACAACTCGGCTATGGCTGCCTGCTCTTCCCTGCTCGCCCGTGAGCGCGTAGGCGCCAGCCAGAAAATAGCGCAGCAGCGCTTGCGCAGCATGCAGCCAGCACCCAAATGCCNAGCAGCGCTTGCGCAGCATGCAGCCAGCACCCAAATGCCGAATGAGGAGGCAGGCCCTTTGCTATATCGAAGTGGCCTGCCTGCGTCCAGTCCCAAGAAGCTTCCAGTAGGCCCCGGTAGCCTGAATCCTAGCACGAACGAGCACAGGCCTTGGGCCTGAGGTGGTTGCATGTACCCAACTGCCTTAGCCTGTGTTTGGCCCAGTACCCGTATCCAGCCCAGGGCCTGCTTTCCATACATTCACACAGGCGGCCCAGAGCCTGGGTTCTCTCAACCAACTGGCGCTGCGCAACTGCCTGAATTTCCTTAGTTGCGCAGTGACCAAAATAGGGCCCTGAAGGCCTCGTCGAGCCTGCCTTCACTTAGGGCGGCCGACGGGCTGCAAGAGAGGGGCCGAAAGGGGCTCATAGAGGCAGTGGCCTCACACTCCCTCCTCCTTAGCTTCAACAGTCCTCTGAGAAGCTCAGTCTTCGACCATCGGGCGCTTTCCCTTCTGTAGAGATTTCTCATATTGAGCTACAACTTGAGGAGTGGTCTGCATAAGTTCTTCCCTCGTGAACCAGCGGTCCTCCTTGGGATCAGTATGATGTCGAAACCGAACTCGGTACTGCAGCTTCGGTTTCGGAGGACGTCCCCTGCCTGTAGATCTCTGAACTGGCAGCTTCGTATGATCCACGATGTCATCAATGTCCACTTCTCCATCCACGGTTGGGGGCAGCATTAAACGACGAGAAGGAAACTCATCTGTTTCCTTGAAAGGTCCGAGCTTGGAGGCATGAAAGACAGGGTAAGTTTGGAGATGACCAGGGATCCGGATAACATAAGATGGCCCATCTGTATTTGTCCCAACGATGTCCAAGACTTCCCAGGGTCCAAAGTACTGGGGCACGAGTTTGCGGGAAATCCCGTGCTCCTGTCCCAGTTCTGAAGACTTAACCCAGACTCTGTCCCCAACCTGAAACGTAGAAGGTCGGCGGTGTCTATTTTCAGACTCTATCATTGCAGCCTGTGCCTTCTGCATCTGTTCTACAGCCTGCTGCATCTTTTGTTCATACCGATAAGGAAATTCTAAGGTACCTGGTGCAGCGGTGGACTGATTCTGAGGAAGAAGAAAGTCTAAGGGCAGTCTAGGCTTGAAAGTTAGCAGTAAGCTGTTTGGGCTCACCCCGGTGGCGCTGTGTACAGCGTTGTTGTACAAGCTGGTGATGAGAGCAAGCTTCTCATCCCAGTCCACCTAGTTGGGCTTGATGTAATGCCTCAACAGGTGTTCTACAACGCGGTTCAGTTGCTCGGCCTGACCGTTGGCCTCTGGGTGATTCCCAGGAGTCATCTGCAACTGGGTTCCCTGCTCTGCAGCAGCGGCCTTCCACAACTCGCTGGTAAACCGGACATCCCTGTCACTGATAATAGACTTCGGTAAACCGAAGTCCCTGACCCAGTTCTCTTTGAACATCCTGATCACATACTCCGTCCTTGCTGTTTCCGGCATTGCTACTAACAGATCATACTTACTAAATTTATCCACGATGACGAAGATGTGTCGCATCCCACTCTTGCTGGTGACCAGAGTATCCATGAAGTCCATGGACAGACTCTCACCAGGCCGTTCCGAAATCGAAAGGGGCTTTAGTAGCCCAAGAGGAGCCTGAGTATGTGGTTTGTCCCTTTGACTAACCTTACAAGTCTCTACGTACAGCTGGGCGTCTCGCATCATCGTGGGCCACCAGAACCGCTACAACAGATTCGCTGCGGTCTTTTTGTACCCAAAATGGCCGGTGGCATCATGACACTCACCTAAAAACAAACTACGCAAAGACTTTCTATTCGGGACACACAAACATTCATTCCCGTCTTTCTCAAGGAACAACAAGCCATTGACCAACTCAAACTCGGCTGAGGTCTTTTTGTCCTTTGCCTCTAGTCTGCGTATGATCTCTAACATAACCTGGTCCTCGCGGTAGGCTTCCACCAAAGAGCAAGTAACATCGTCCGTCAGATCGAACTCAGTAATCAGCGCACCTGAGAAGTCAGGTCTACGCGACAAGGCATCAACAACCTTGTTGTACTCCCCTTTTAGATACTGAGGGTCAAAGTCATACTGTTCAATGACTTCGATCCAACGCTTCAGAGCGTCAGAAAGTACCGACTGAGTTCTCATCCATCTCAGTGTCAGATGATCAGTCCTGGGATGAAGAACCTCCCAAGGAGATAGTGCCTCCAATGGGTCAGAGCCTTGTACACCGCATAGAGTTCCTTCTCATAGGTTGACTTTGCCAACTTCTGAGACGACATTTTCTTAGACATGTACTCGACTGGCCTCAACTTTGAGTTCCTTCTCGTAGGTTGACTTTGCCAACTTCTGAGACGACATTTTCTTAGACATGTACTCGATTGGCCTCAACTTTGGCCCCTCTTGCTGTGCGAGCACGGTGCCAATGCCATATTGGCTGGCATCCGTGGTGACTATAAACGGCTTGTCAGGATCGGGAAGTTTCAAGACCTCATAGTGTGTCAACGCATGCTTCAGATGTCTGAAAGCAGCCTCGCACTCGTCTGTCCACTCCCATGGCGTGTCAAGGCGAGTTAGATCAGTCAAAGGAGCGGCCAGTATACTATAGTTCTTAACGAAAGTCCTATAGTAGCCTGTCATCCCTAAGAAAGATCTCATCTCAGTCACAGACCGAGAACGTGGCCAATCACATATGCTGGCCACCTTCCCGTCATCGGGCTTCAACCCTTCCGCGAGATCTCATGACCCAAGTACAAGACACGAGTGTGGCCAAACTCGCACTTCTCACCGTTGATCTTGAACTTGTGTTGCCGCAGGAGACTGAGGACTTTGTCCAAGTGTGCAACGTGCTCCTCGACAGTCTTACTAAAAGTAAGTCTCTACGAGTTCCTTGAGTTGTCGGCGAAGCTCATCGAGCTCGCCTGGAGACATGCGATAGATCCTACCCTTCGGGATGCTAGACCCTGGGATAATCTCTATCACGTGGACGACCTCCCTCTCTACAACCCCTATCACCTCTTCAAATAGATCAGGGTACTTAGCAACTACTCCCTCTATCTCCGGTGGCATTTTCACCGGCTCGCCCGCAACAGAGTACATACCCTCCCTACTGATTTTGCTTATAATAATTGTAGAATGCGGTCGCACACATGCACCCATAGGACTCGATCAGACTACTAGCTTTGAACTTATGTAATCTGGCGGTCCCTCCATCTCGCAAAGTGTGTTTGACCACTTTTCGGTTCGAGTCAAACTGGGGTTGTGCCACAGAGAGGTAGTACATACCCAACAACATGTCCGTGGGGAGTTCATCGCTCACGAGGAACAAGACACGATGTCTCAATTCCCCTCCCGCGTACGGGAAACAACACTCAACATCCTGGAGGTAGTCATTGACTACCATGCGTTGTTTGTTGGCACAGGTCGACTCAGGCGCTGCACTTGCCCCTGTAAGCGCAGCCTCTCAACGCACGCGCGACTAATGAAGTTCCTAGTCGAGCAAGTGTCATAATAGGCCCCGGCCTTGTGGCCGCCAATGAAAACCTCGCTGACGAACATCTCACCCTTCGGGGCTTTGACTAGGGCCGTCCAAGAAGCTAGCGGGTCTGATCTAGACCACTTATCCTCTAGCTCCTCTAAGGACTCAAACACATTCATCGAACAGAGGCTCGATGGGTCTGAATGTGTTTGCGAGGCGACGCTGGAGTCAGTAGCTTGGGCCATCTCTCGAGATGGTGAGGGTGTCTCCACCACCTCGACCCTAGCAGGAACAACTACTATTCCTACTGGCCCGACGTGTTTCGCGGAGCACTGCCAGAAGTACTAGCCACGTTGCTACGAACGGGATGGGAGGATCCCAACGCTTGCCCCATCGTAGGCGGGATCTTCTCGGTCACCTTCTTGTTCCGGCACTTGAATTGGTTATGGCCATATTGGCCACAACGAATACAAGCTTGTCGGGTGTACCGGTCTCTCCACACTTCCTCAGTGAGACCCGCTTTCTCCCATGGAGGAGCATTGGGGTCAACTTGACTCCTTGACCGGGAGCCTCCATGACGTCTATCGATCGCCTTACCTTTTTGAGCTACGGCAGCGACAACTCCAGCCCCTGAAGCTTCAACGCTGCCCACCTCTGCACCTACTCCCTCCTGGAAGTTGTCGTCTAATTTGATGGTTGAACCATCGTTATCGACAAACATAATGCGTCCCTTCGCCTTCCAGTTGGGAGGCAATGTTTTCTTCCTACCATCCGTAGTGGGTGCCTGTCCATGCCCTATCTTCGCCTCTAGGTCTGGGGCCTTCTTGCTAAATGAAGGAAAGTTGTGCATATTGATGTTGGCCTCACCTGCCAACTGGTTCCTGAGAGGCAAGGAGAAGCATCCCAGGTAGGAGGTGAGTAGTACCTGGGGTCATAGTGCACCCCTGGGACACAGATGAGACGCTCAACAACATCGGTGGCTTCCCTTACTGACTTGAATTGTCGTGTGTGCAGTGTCAGGATCGCGTCAGTGGCCCTTTGGGCCTCCTGAGGATCATGCCACCTTTCCTCCACCAGCTTAAGGAAGTCATCCAATTTTTGGGTGACCGCCCAAGCGCGGAAGTCATGACCATACCCCTGGAGCTACACTAAACCACTCAACCATCTTGCTGCACTACCCTCTAGGTAGGAGGCAGCCACAAGCACTTCTTCGTGCGGCAAGGTAAGTTTGCACCTAACATAGACTGGCACTGCCCTCAACCACGTGTCGAGGTCTTCACCTCTCTTATCCCCTGTGAAGGGTTTCGGAGCGGCGATGGCCGTCTTTGGCACCCATTGTGTTTGTCCCGGTCCCTGCATCACTCCGGGCTGTGGACCCTGTGACACAGGCTGCTGTACTAACTGTTGGGGTTGTGTGCCCAGCGGCTGCACAGGCTGTGAGACAGGAGGCTGCATGGTGACCGCAACCTGCAACGGAGATTGGGTGAACACTGTCTGTACAGGAACCTGCAAACTAGTTCCTGTTGATACCCCTCCTGATAGCGGCATGCCCAGGGAAACGATCGCAACCGATGATGGGGCAACATATGGGGATACCCCAGTGACCGGTGGGACAAAAGGAGGAGACTGTACAACGGGCCAGGCACCAGACCCGGACATTGGCGACGTTGCCTGCGCTCGCCCAACCAACAGGGCCAAGCTTTGCTGAATGTCCTGAAGGATGGTTGTCTGATGGTCCTGCATCTCGACTACATTCAACATGACGGATCGTATGAGCTTCACATCATCAGTCACGTTGTCGCACTTTTTCCAGCCTAGCCACTTTGGGCCACCGGAAAGCCAACAGGCTGTCACGTAGGATTTTGTATGTGATTGCAATAAATAAAATAAATTAAATAATGCAAATCCCTTCCTGTTGTGTGCGTCCGGCTTCGAGCGAGACCCTTCAATTGCGGTCTTCGCCGGTCCCCGGTCTTAGGAATCTTTTATTTTGATTCGGAACAGCAAAGAATTATGCAAATAATAATCATAAACTTATGGGAAGCTATGCATGCATCAATTATGTCAATCTGATTTTGAGAACTGTGACAAAACATCCACTAAGGCAATCATCAAACAAGAATAATGCGGAAAATAAGACTGACTGACTCGAGCAAAGACAGGGACAATTGAACGAGGAAAGAATGAGAACTCATAATAATCTCAGAAAGTACACATAAACGAGCGTGGTCAGCACCTGTCAAGAGTCCTCACTCATCCCTCTGGTCGGTCTCCCTCAATCTCTTTTCACTGATCTTCTCTGGTGCCGAGACCCACGCCCACGTACAATCTGAGACTGAGGCTTCATGACAAAATGCCACCTGTAGCCAGCAAGCTCTGAGCACGGCCATCTGAGGCATATAACACGATAGTTAACCATAGAGCAAAACTCGTCCCACAATGTAGGCCCTCGTTTCAGGCTTTTAGGCTGAAACGAAACAGGTTTTACTCCTACGGACCCTTAGTCTACCCCCGGAGACCAACCTGCTCTCTCTAACCTGTCTGTGCCTAGTGTAAACTTGCCTTTCACAGGGTTGATAGCCAGGCCGTTTTACTGATCTCCAGTAATCCTCCTCCTTGCCTCCTCAACGGGCCCCACTGATGAGAGGGTACTGTGTAGCTTTCCGTCTGATCCGTAAATGTAAAAAGTGTATTCAATATGCGCCTGGTCTTTCACTTGCTCTAGAGCCTGTTCCATCATGAGTCTCGTCAGATAGCCGAGGTCCTGTGTGACTCTCTCCTCCCAACCTTCACTTTTGTCTTGATGCATTGTGCACGTCACCCTCAGTCTTTTCTCACCACCCATTTTTCTCTTTTCCCCCTTTGCATAGGAATCATGGGACCTGGTGGAAAGTTGGCCTCGAAAGACCTTCACGTCAACCTCTTTTAGTATGTAGACCACCGGCAACCACTTGGTCGTGGAATCAGGGTAGCCAAACAGAAAAGAAAGGGGCAATTGGCTGCAGACTCTGGGCTGACTTTGCAGAGTTTATACTAAGTCCATTGAATAAACTCTGAGCTGACTAAAGTTTGAATTCTTTTGCCATGTAACGTTCATATTCACCAAATCCAGGCATAAGTGAAATGCGGTAATACTGGGTCCCCTGATTTTTCACCGGATTATCTGTCCCGACGTTTGAGATGCCCGAGTCTGCGCCAAACCGCTTCAAGTCTATTTTCTTGTTGGGTTTTGTCCAATTCCAATTCGCGTGGCCTGGATCTGATTCGAGTTGCCCGTGTCTGATCCAAGTTGGTAGAATCAGGTTCCGGTTGTCTAAGTCAGGTTTGAGAGCTTGAGCTTGATCTAGACATTTGAGTTTGGTCTAAAAATTTGAGCCTGATCCTGAATGTTTGAGTCGGATCCCAAATGTCCGGGTCAGATCTGGCTGTCTGGGCCAGCCCGGTTCGGCCAACCGTTGATCAGACCGCTTCTGCTAATTGATTCCACAAGACTAGGCTCAGATCAGATAGGCCTTATCGATGAACTTCATCCAGTAGGAAACTTGTCAACTACTCTCTGAGCCGACTGTTCGCCGGTTCTGCGTCTCACGAAGCTAGATAGATTTATACTCAGTTGCCTACCAACAGCGCGCGACACAGCAGTGAATATCAATAGCCTTACGGGGTGAGACTTACTTACTCGTTTGCTCACTCTGAAGCAACACCATTGATTAGGAAGCGTACCCTTGGCAGCAAACCCCGTGCTCGTGACAGAGTATAGATCTGGGTTTCTCCCCGCCTGTTTCGTTATATTTGGCTGGAGAGAAACCAGAATCTATTAATCATCACTTGAGTCGGGGAGACTGTAGCATTCTTGTTCCAAACTTTTCGAGAATTTCCGGCCCGGGGCTTTTTGTCGTTTCTCTTTTATCACGCAATCCACGTCAGGTAGACAGTATGACTGACCTGAGTAAAGACTGAAATTGACTGAGTTCCCATCCAAGAGGAATTTAACTAACAAGTGGGTAATCCTTTTTAAAACTCGTCGTTTCCTGCTCATTGGACCATAAAGTCGGATTATTTTGCCCAGTCCTACGTTCTCACTGACATCCCATTTTTTTTTTTTAGGCTGCTGATCAGATCTAGCACATTGGCAACCGATGCCTCTCTGATTTGCCCACTAGCCTCTTAAAAAAAAAATTGGTATTGCCCCGCTCCTGTAAAGACAGACACGTAAGGTATTAATCCAAGAGATGAGACGATTATCCCCACTCTCGAGTACAAAAGGAAATAAAGGAACAACTTAGAGCCTATTGAGTCACAATTGATCTCATTGCCTTGTCAAGTGACCGATGAGCTACTCGACATGAGACCAACCAAACAATCTTTAGATAAATCGTCAAAGCGACTCCCTTAATCTCGAGGGTCATTAAATTGACTGTATGCATGCAGAGCTTCCACTTGGATCAGGGGGACACGAACTACTGTCACTTACGAAGCTAAATCATCCGGCTTCTCGCACACCGTAAATCTCTTTATGGCTTACTCGGCTCAACTCCCAATCTAAAAGCACACAGATATATATATATATATATAACGAATCCCCAGCCTCGTTAGCACCAATCGAACAAAACAATCAGCCTCACCTCCCTTACGAGTGTCTTGCCTCGGCAGACCTGAACTAGGCAAGTCCTGAAATGCTGACGTCAACTCATTTGGCCTCTTGCAAACTGTCTCAAATAGTTGCCTGGCTCTTCGGACTCATCCTTTATGAGAAAGAAAATTAGCATTGAAGACCAGCTACACATGCGCGTAGCCCACACTGGAAATCTCAGGCAACCTGTTTTGAGTGCTTCAAACTGCACTAAACTGCAAAAGCGCACCGAAAGAGAACTGTGGGATTGACTGTACTCTGTCATAGCCGGACGTGACTTGTGTCAATCAAGTAAACGATCATCTGTCACCAGTTGTAAACAAGTCTTTCTTGACACGTCGACAGGACTGTGAGAACATCAGTTTGAATCGCAGGCTTCGTCACAATGGAGAGGCACAAGAAGGTCTGTGTTACATCTCAGGCCAGTGTAAGCGTCTCTTCCTCTCCCTCCCAATTAACGAGTGGTCTACCACTGTCATCAACCGACCTTCTTCGACGCACACGGTCTCTCCTCCTCATCCCTCACCAAGCAACTCACTTGTTGTCCTACCCCTTTCATGTCAGCAGCAGTCCAAGCTCGTTAGCCACTGTGCACAGCTCAGCTAACGCAGACCGTCCTCTTTCGTCACTTCCCTCTCCCAATTACATGTCTCTCTCTCTCTCGTACCCGCTCGTCCTCTCTCCAGCGATGACGTCAACCATGTGACATTTCTTTTCCTCTTGCGCTCACTGACGCTCCTTGCGTGTGCCCTTCCCTGCGACTCGCACATGCGCTAACCTTCCAGGAGCCTCTCCCTCACTCCCACCTGTCTCTATTACACATACACAGCGCGGTTAGCACCCAACGTGTAACGAGCTCATAGCTCTGGTCCCGCGTCCGTTCACACTGGTCCTTGACCAGTCTGACAACACCAATCTCTTCGTCACCTCAGGAGGACTTCTGGACCGCTCTCATCAGGCTCCACACACTCAAGCCATCAGGCAGGAGCGCTAAGGTGCCAGTTGACGTCAACAGCAAATCTCGTGATCGCGTGTGCCTTACTGTCTCTCTCTCCCATGCGTTGACCTCTCCAGGGGACTCTCCGGAAACGTGCCACGTAACTTGCCTCTCACGCGTATCCGCCTCGAGAGCCAGCACTAGTGTCCCGAAACTGACCCATGAAGACCTGCTACTACCCAGTAGACACAAGACGCCGCTAGTGAGCGGGGGAGCAGCGGCTGGCATCAACTGCGATGGATATGCTCACTCTCAGCTAACCTTCTCTTACTCCTTTGCATATGCCTCCCTCTTGCGCAAGCTCGTGTGTAAGCCGTACCTGAGCATTTTCTGGCCTCTTCACGACGCACCAGCACGTGTTGGACCTTTTCACGCACAATCAAGAACTGAGCATTGTCCTCCACACCACCCGCGAGCCGCACTAGTGCTTTTGCTTCCCGCGCGAGTGTGCCATGTGTCGGCTGCTCGCGTAACGTCTCGTGATTGCTTGTCATTCTCTCTGTTGACCCTCACCACTCTCTCTTTTGGTCTGTTACCTGTCCCCCGTGTACCCGTGCCACAACACTTTTTTCAGCCTCCCCGCCGTTGCGAACTCACCTCGGGCCCGCGCTCCACTGGGCCTGCCAATGGGTGGTTCCGACGGATCTGGTCCAGTCCATGCCAAGACTGGACATCAGCCTCTCTGTCGCTCATCTCGGACTCACCCTCTGAGTCCCGGTCATTGTGCTGCTCCTCCCTTGTCATGGTCCCGGTTGATGAGTCATCTTCGTGGTAAGTGACCGTTACCTGCATGCTCGCAGTTACTCCATCCCGCCTGCACCTTCGTTCGGCCCTGTTACGGGCCTCAGTAACCGTGGCCTGCACCTTTTCATTCCTCCTCATTTCCTGTTCTTTACCACCGCACACGTTAATTTTTAGCCTCACCTCCCCGTCAGGATTACCATAAGTCAGTATAGTCTCCACCACAGTACCCTTCTCATCTTCTCGCTCCCACATCCAGGAGTACTTCATATACCGCGGCCGATAGCCGCGCAAGCCGTTCCGATCTTCCATAGCCGCCCTCTCCCTCCGTAGCCAACGCCAAGTGCCCAGCTCGTACTAACCAGCACGCGAGTCTACTAGACAGACGGTCCCGACTATCGGAAAATCGAAGCCACGGCGTGTATCACCGCTCACACCCGCGGAGCAATAACATGCCCCTCATGGGTAACAGCCCCTGTTTTATAGGGCTCAAGGTGGCAGCGGTCTCTGCGTTCTAATTGACGGACTCGAAACAGTCCTTTTCAACCCCCTTCTCTTTTTGATTTAAAAATAGTTTTAAAAGTCAAGATTAATAAAATAATTAAAACTAGACAATTTAAGAGGTGTCTGAGTTCAGAACTCAACGGTCACCGCATCGACTTCTGTTTCCGGACACTAAAGCTCTCCTGGCCTGAAAAGCGACTCACGGATTTGACGCGGCGGTCCCATAACGGGATATCGACGGATCTCCGTCCTTCTTCAAAATATGCCTTCAGCCTACTTCTATCGGGTGCCCGTGCCCGATGGCAAGGAGGCTTATGACCCTCCGTGGGGGGTGATAGGCCTCCTACCGATGCGGTCGCGGGTCGCCCTCCTTTTGGGGTCTTACCGCATAGCACCAGATCGGGGCTCACCCGCAGACAGTATATGCAAGATTGGCCTACTTAGGCTACGGACTATTGGCTTCGAAATTCGAACCGTTGGCTTCCCGCGAAAGGACAAGCCAACATGTAGAAAACCAAATTTAGAAAAACTAAGTAGTAATAAAGAAATAATAATAATACTAATACCCGGAGGGAAAAAGGAAATGGAAGAAAAAGGGTGACGTCCCAGAATCTCTTTGTGCAGCAGTCTTGCCTGAATAACGACCCACGTTCACGCACACGTTTATAACCCGATTTTCATTATTTTCCCTTCCTTTTATTTCTTCTCTTATTTTTCCCTTTGTAGCTCTTACTATATCTGCCCCTTAACCCGGCCACCGGGGTCCGCGCGGTCCGGACACAGTTCTGGTACAGGCGATATACAAGAGGTCGGTAAGACCCAAACCATGAGACCACAGTTGCAGTCCAGAACCTGAATCGGCGGCCTCCCCTACGAAGTGACAGAACGACCACCGAGAAACCGGAAATAAGAAAATTAGGTAAATAACAATAATAATCATAATAATAATATCTTTCCAAAAAATTGAATGGAAATCGTAGCATCACAGTGGCCTGAGGCCACTGGATTTTTCCCCGTACAAAAGGCGAGCTTAAGTCTGGCATTTTATTTTCCCTTTTCTCTTTCCTCTCTTGACATCGATTTCTGTCCCGTGCACCTATCCCATAACTCAGTACAGGCGCGCGGTTGAAAAGACTGAGCCAGTCCTCTCACCCCCGCGTCCCAGAGCGAACCCGGCGACTGCCACGGCCACAGGTCGGTCATGCTCTGCTGTACAGCAGGGCGCCGAACCTGCGTGGACCAATGGAAGGCCCTGTGGCGTACCTTTTGCAGAAGCAGGCATCAACAGGGCCGGTCCATATCACGATATGACCCAGGTACGAAGGATCTTAATGGTCTAGGAACCACCACAGGACCACAACATTAAAACTGGGAGTGGTACCAAGTAGGAGCTTGGTACACGGAGGAGGGCCGGGACACCGCGCCCTCTGACAACGTGCGTCAGGTCCATCTCCTCTAACTCACTAATGTCCGCTTCTCTCCACTGCATCCTGGCTCTTCTTCTAATCATTCTTGCTTTCTCCACTTTTATCTGTCCTAATGCATGTTGTAGCTGTGCTTCCTGCAGGGTTGCCTGCTATATGGCGATCTCGCCGGAGGTCAACACTAATGGCTGGCTTGCCATTACGCCAGTGGACTGACTCTGGGTCTGCGCGACCGTTGACCCGACAGATCCTCAACTACTGGCCTGAGTAGTCTGCTGCGCCGAAGTGGCCATGGCTTCCGAAGTTGCGGCTTCACTCACAAGTGCCCTGCTAGCCTCTGCTGCTCTAGCCCTCCTCTGCTGATGCAACCTTTCTCTACGCTGGCGGAACAGATATTTGTCACCCTCTGGACCTAATTCCAAATGGGCTACTGGGAGCCTTGCCCATAGCAAGATCCGGTCGTCCTCTCTAGTGTCCTCCTCGTCGCTCATACGCTACAACACTGTACATAATCTGCACTAATACACACTGGATGCTTACCGCAACATTGTGCACAGACCAACTAACTGGTTGCTATTTTGGAGCAGACATCAATTGGGGTCAACATGTAAATCAGATTCCTACAAATAAAACTATTTTTAGTTTCACTAGTCCGCAAATAGAAGCACCATGAACAAGAAACAGTTCTAACTAATGCTGTCTGTCAGATGTCAATGGCTGTACACCTAACTAATCAAAACATAAAAATATAATCATTTGTGTGGATAGGACAACATGGAATTTTCTCGAACTTATCACCTGAAATCTACCCCTCCCTTAGTTCCCCTGAATGTCACTCGACGTTAGCGTCCCTGAGCGATCCGGAGAGCGTTGCGTGTCTAAAGGTGTGTGTTCGGCCCACCCCTGTGCCCCGAGTATCTGCTGAGCTGGCCAGCCCTGCACTGGATTATCCTCGCGTGCAGCGAGCCTTACAACCATTGGCTGATCCAGAGGCAATTTAACGTCCGCCCCCAAGTGACTCCAGGAATTATTTAACGTCGCAGTCGGACGACGATCACAGCCAATGGTTCCCCATCCGGTGCTTATTTAAAGACGCCCGGTCTCGTCTCCCATAGGGCTGACCTGCCCTTCAGTACCCATCTAACATCACAGCAAGCCAAACAAAGGACAAGCAGCAAAGCATGCGTGCTCTACTCCCGGTGGGTTGGCATGGTGACCGTGACCCAGTGCTTCGTCCATGTTCCTTCAGAAAGCTCCGCCCATCTTTTCCCAGATGCTCCACGTGAACATTGCCGACTCTCAAGGTTGGCCGCACTCAACTCCTTACGATGAGAGGACTCTCAAGACGTAACACACATCCTCACGGTAAGAAGTGTCGAAGAGGGTAGATAAGGTTAAGAGCAACGTACCTCAAATAGCTGCCTCCAACCACAGAGATAATCTCACCAGATGACCTGACGCCGATTGTGATGACCAGTCATTCCTTCGGCACAACCAGCATTACACGTCCTTCCACCTCAGCACCAATCGCACATCAGATAGTTCTCATCACACTGTCAAGAACCCACATTACACCACATAGCCTTCCTGGCGATACCCCTCACCTCTTGGGTCGCCTATCACTCGTCTCCGCCCTCCTCACTACACACCACTTACGACCAAACTCGACAAGCAGACCGCATGTATGTACCGCATAAGGCAGAAGACAAGCGCCGGATGGGCGCAATCGTACCACAACTCCGATACCAAATTGCAAGGAAGATGAGCAATAGCGAACTTCAGCAATCAAACAACATCATATTCACAAGACCAGATAGTCGTGACCTCGAACCAACAACAAAATTGCATCACGAGTTTCACCAAATAAGAAGACACCAAGAGCTCAAAATTGACAATGTTGGTAATGTCTCATTATCATCATCAATGAAGAACCAATGTTGATATCCTATCTGGCGCTCGGCGCCCAGACTACAGATGGCAGATCCTATCTCGCCTAAACTACAATGTCGAAAGATGACGTCAACAGCTTTCCCGAAGTACGAGCATACCGCGACCAATGTCGCACGCTTCCAGCATCTAGTATGTCTCTCGCCACACTCACAACCTTGTTCCCCAACACACAGATGCCACTTGCACCCAAGGACCACTCTGCGCCACACCCAACTTACAGCAGTGCAGCTCGGCTACGGCTGCCTGCTCCTTCCCTGCTCGCCCGTGAGTGCGTAGGCGCCAGCCAGCAAATAGCGCAGCAGCGCTTGCGCAGCATGCAGCCAGCACCCGAATGCCGAATGAGGAGGCAGGCCCTTTGCTATATCGAAGTGGCCTGCCTGCGTGCAGTCCCAGGAAGCTTCCAGTAGGCCCCGGTAGCCTGAGGCCCAGCACGAACGAGCACAGGCCTTGGGCCTGAGGTGGTTGCATGTACCCAACTGNCAGTCCCAGGAAGCTTCCAGTAGGCCCCGGTAGCCTGAGGCCCAGCACGAACGAGCACAGGCCTTGGGCCTGAGGTGGTTGCATGTACCCAACTGCCTTGGCCTGTGTTTGGCCCAGTACCCGTATCCAGCCCAGGGCCTGCTTTCCATACATTCACACAGGCGGCCCAGGGCCTGCTTTCCATACATTCACACAGGCGGCCCAGGGCCTGGGTTCTCTTAACCAACTGGCGTTGCGCAACTGCCTGAATTTCCTTAGTTGCGTAGTGACCAAAACAGGGCCCTGAAGGCCTCGTCGAGCCTGCCTTCACTTAGGGCGGCCGACGGGCTGCAAGAGAGGGGCCGAAAGGGGCTCGTAGAGGCAGTGGCCTCGCACATCGCTTCTTTGAAATTCGAAAATAATTTTAATTCTATTCTTTTTTTTTTTCCCAAAATTTTTGTAATTCGAAATATTCTAGAATTAATTAAATTCCTTTTTCAACATTTCTTTTTCGAAAACATCTCTAATTAATTATTTTTCAAAATTTTTAAAATTACGTTTTCCTCCCTCGAACTTCAAAAATAATTTTCATTAATTGTTTCCATGGCTACCGCGGACCCGGACACCGGACCGATCCGGACCCAGACAACCAGTCGGTCCGGATATGATCCGGACGTCCGGATTTCCGAACCAGTCCGGACCGTCCGGACATGGTCCGGATCAGTCTGGATGGTCCGGATTATCATGTCCGGATCAGTCCGGATTGAAAAAAAGAAAAAAAACACTTGCAGGTCTCTTATGCATGTTGAATGCAGTTTCATCGTGTTCCAGGAAGACATAGCTGTTGGCATATATGACAAGCATGAATGATCATTCCTTGACATGCACTGTGCTGGCACAGTCATTGCAAAGCACAAACTGCTGCAAGGGAAGAACAAGTGAAGAAACAAAAAAAAGAACACTCCGTAGTAAACCTGAATAAAGGTAAATATTAAATGAAGTTCAAGACTTTAGAAGTTCATAATTTAAAGTTCAAAGTTTGAAGTCCGAGTTCAAACTGTCTCTCTCTCTCTCTCTCTCTCTCTCTCTCTCTCTCTCTCTCTCTCTCTCTCTCTCTCTCTCTCTCTCTGTTACATGTGTGCACCAGTCCACATCGGTAACGAGGGCTCTCTCTCCCTCTCCCTGGGTGTGTGTGTGTGTGTGGCGGCGGCGGGTGGGCGAGAAAGCACTCTGAAGTGTCTAGATCCGCCCTTTCTTCCCTTTGTCACTGGGGAACTGCGCTCTGCCTCCAACAGTCCGCCCAAAATGCAAATAGAAAAGGGGTCGGTCCGGCCGCCCTGTACGGCCGATATCGGCCCCAAAAATCATAGAGACATTTTTCAGAAGGCGCCCTAGACCCACGGAACAGGTCTAGGGTGCCCCATTTTTTTTTGAATTTCGGGGTCTTGGCCCCTTTCGGACGGGCCTCCTACGGTCCGACGTCCTAACACCGGACAGCAGACCGTTTGGACGCCTGTCCAGATGTCCGGATGGTACCCATGTTTTCATAATTTTTTTATTTTATTTTTTAAGTAAGTTCTTTTCATTCGAATTAATGAATTATTTCTCAATATTGCTTTTATTTTCTTCTCTTTTCCGATACTACTTTTAATACTTTTGGAAATACGTTAGTGCAAGGAACATGAGTGTGAACGAAGTACAGAAATCCAAATTGCAAATCACCCTGAAGTCCATGTAGTCAAGCAAAGAGCAGATAGCACATTGGAACCAAGAAACCATCCATTGAGAACGATACAGCAGAATCGAGAGTCAATGTCCAATCCCGAAGGGCCACACTGACATCAGAGCCCAATGTAGCTCTCACTTCGAATGGCACCGGGCGCCCTATCTACTCTACAACTTATCTCTACAACTACAGCATGACGCAATCAGGACGACTTGAAGACCAGCGTGCTTGGCTTCACACCAATGCCGACCTCCTCTCGCACACCAGGTAAGTCACTCGCTCCCCTCTTCTCTTCCCTGACTCCCACTCATCATCTCCTTCTTCCAAAGACCACCTTCGCCCTCACCTCCTTCTGCGCCCTCCTGCAGCTCGGCTATGGCTGCCAGCGCCTTGCACCCCAGCTGCGCCCTACCGCTTAGTGCCAGCCAACTTTCTCTCAGCCAGAGCATAGCGCAAGCGCCTGCGCTACAATGCAGCAGCGTGCCCGCAATGCCTGCATTGGCCAAGATGTCTGCCCACTCGCACATTCTGCCTATATGCCTTGCTGCGTGTGGGCGGCCTCCCTTGAGCCTGCGTCTGGGCCCAGGCCCAATCACACGTGGGGCCCAGGTAATGCAGTTGCGCCCCTTATGCCAGGGCCATCATACAGATTCAGACCCTGTTCGGGTTTCCCATTGGTTCGCCCGGCCTCTACGACACAATGCTGCTTTTCCATAGGCCAGCGTCCATTGTGTGATGTGTGGGCCTCCCAGACTGGTGCCCAGGGCTCAACCAACTGAGACCCTGGCCTTAACTTCCTCTGCACGAGTCTGGGCTCACGATGCACTCCAATTGGCGTGCGGCAACTTCGTGAAATGCTGAAAGGAAGGCCTCTTGTGGATATTCTGGCCCGCCTTCACTTAGGGCGGGCACGAGGCTTGTTGGGGTCCTTAGCCCAGAACATGTGAATGTCGGCAAGGCCCCATTGAGGGCTCAATCCTCACATTCCATCCCCCTTAGCTTCGAAAGTCCGCTGAGATGCTTACTTCGCAGGTGCCTTTCCCTTTAACATCCTTTCATATTTTGCTACCACTTGGTGAACCACCAATCTTCTCTCGGATCTATATGATGCCTGAATCTGACACGATACTCTCTCTTGGGTTTTGGAGGTCTCCCTCGACCCAGTGGCTTTGGAACAGGCATGTCTTTATGATCCACAATGTCGTCGATGTCCACGTGGCCATCCATGGTTGGGGGCAGCATTGATCTCCTTGAAGGAAATTGATCTGTCTCAGCGAAAGGTGCAAGCTTTGAGGCATGAAAGACAGGGTAAGTACGCAGGTGTCCAGGGATTCGGATAACGTATGAGGGACCATCCAAATCAGTACCTACTACATCCAATACTTCCCACGGACCAAAATACTGTGGCATTAGTTTTCTAGAGATGCTGAATTCCTGTCCTAGCTCACTAGCCTTTACCCAGACACATTCCCCTACTTGAAATGTGGACTGTCGACGATGTTGATTCTCAGAAGCAATCATTGCTTCCTGAGATTTCTTGATGTGCTCGACAGCTTGCTGCAACAACTTCTCATACTGGACACCATATTCCATGGTTCCAGGGGTTGCAGCAGGTCGGTTTTCTGGCAGGAGGAAGTCTAGAGCAGATCTGGGCTTCCATCCCAAGTGCAGCTGATTTGGACTGACGCCAGTAGCGCTGTGCACGGCGTTGTTGTACAGGCTGGCGATGAGAGGCAATTTCTCATCCCAGTCATCCTGGTTGGGCTTTATGTAATGCCTCAGCAGATGCTGCACAACCTGGTTCATCTGTTCGGCCTGTCCGTTAGCTTCAGGATGATTCCCTGAAGTCATCTGAAGTTGACTGCCCATCTGTTCAACAGTTTTTTTCCACAACTCATTGGTAAAGCGGACATCTCTATCACTAACGATAGTCTTAGGCAGCCCACAGTCACGCACCCAGTTGTCCATAAACAACTTGATGACGTGCTCAGTCCTTGCTGTTTCCGGCATAGCTATTAGTCTGACACACGTGGTAAACCTGTCAACTATGACAAAGATGTGCCTCTTCCCACACCTGCTGGTCACCAGGGTGTCCATGAAGTCCATGGAGACACTCGGGCAAAGGCTTCAACAATCCAAGCGGTGCTTGAGTGTGCGGTTTGTCCCGTTGACAGACTTGGCAAGTCTGTACATGCTTCCTAGCATCGTCTAGCATGTTGGGCCACCAGAATCGCTGTATAAGATAAGCGCTCGTCTTCTTGTAGCCAAAGTGCCCTGTTGCATTGTGACATTCCCCTAAAAATAAACTACACAAACGTTCACTAGATGGAATAACTAACCTTTTGAACCCGGCCTTTTCAAGAAAGAGTAGCCCGTCCACCATCACAAACTCATCTTATGTGGCCTTATCTTTTGCCTGCAGTTTGGGTATGATGTCCATCGTGACAGGGTCTTCCTGATAGGCTCCCACCAGCAATTGAGTTACTTCTTCAGATACGCCAAATCCGGAAACTAGCACCCCTAGGTAGTCTGCCCTACGTGACAGCGCATCCGCAACCTTGTTGTACTCTCCCTTCACATACTCCAGCTTGAAGTCATACTGATCTATGACCTCAATCCAACGCTCGAGTGCATCATAAAGAGCACGTTGAGTCTTGATCCATTTGAGGGTCTGATGGTCAGTTCTCAAATAGAAAAACCGCCCCAACAGAAAGTGCCTCCAATCGACGAGTGCCTTGTAGAGCGCATAGAGTTCCCTTTCATAGGTGGACTTCGCCAGTTTCTTTGATGGCATTTTCTTGCTCATATACTCAATCGGTCTCAACTTCTTCCCATCCTGCTGAGCCAGCACTGCGCCAATGTCGTATTGGCTTGCGTCAGTGGTCACAATGAAAGGCTTCTGAGGATCGGGCACCATGAGAACCTCATGATTCATGAGGGCATGCTTCAATCGCTTGAAAGCAGCCTCACACTCATCACTCCACTCCCACGGTGCGTCAAGTCGAGTGAGATCAGTCAAAGGAGAGGCGATTGTAGAGTAATTCTTCACGAAGTTCCTATAGTAACCGCACATTCCTAAGGAAGATCTGACCTCAGTAATAGTCTTAGGTCGTGGCCAGTCCCTTATACTGGTCACCTTTGCATCTTCCGACCTCATCCCCGCCGCGGATACTTCATGACCCAAGTACAAGATCCTAGTGCGTCCGAGCTCACAATTCTCTAAGTTGACCTTATACTTGTGCTCCCGCAGGAGTGAGAGAACAATCTCTAAATGTTGTGCATGTTCCTCAACAGACTTACTGGAGATAAGAATATCGTCGAGGTACACGACGACAAACTTGTCTAAGTAGTCATGGAAGATCCTATTCATGGTGTGTTGGAATGTACCCGGTGTAGGGCCAAACCCCGGTAGACTTTCGAGCCTTAGTTGACCCCACTGCGGGTCCCAGTTGGCTCGGCCCGCCCACACTCATGCTCAGGGCGCGGGCCATTCGTCCCAAGGTCACCCCCACCTAGTGCTTTGAGATTGATGGGGATGGGCCATCGCGCGAGAGAGCTTTGATATTAAAGATGTAGCTCAACCCTCACGCCGGGTGGTAGTCTCGCTGGTCGTTTTGCAACGCTGATTTTTTTTTTGGTTCTTTGTTGTGTTCTCACACAATTGCTCCTTCCAATACGCAGGCAGTCCAGGGGTTCTTTGAGCGTTTCTCTTCTCTTGTGCGTAGGCTAAGCGTCATCCTTAGGCCACGCACCATTTCCCTAAGCATTGTGGCTATATGGCGTCATCGGGGTGCGGCGGAGCCGTCCTCCCCCTCGCCTCTACGCATCCATCGGGTCTCATAATTTGCTTTCCTCATTGAAGTAGGCCCCTTAGTCCTTTCAGGGTCCTCATATGCATGCACACATAACATCACAATTTCCTTGGAATGGTTGCACTCTCATTTCCACTGCAAGTCCTCAAGCACAAAAGTCATTCCCATGGGTTGGCTCTATGTCAAGGGTCCCATAGCCCCTTTGTCCCTCTTCCCTTTCACTCTTGGTGCCCAGTTCCTCTCGCCCCTATCCCGCTCAAGGCATTTCTAGCCACCACTCACCTGCACAATCCCACACAAGCAAAAGAATCCATACAATCCCCCGTTGGGGGTCAACATATAGCCCTTCCCACATGCCTATCTTTTTCAATCCTTTGGTTGCTCTTTGTTCCCTCTTGATGCTCAATCAGCCCATTCTCTTCTCATAGTCATGCAGTCGGGGAAATGGTTGAGTCAAACTAACCTCTCTCTCAACTTATGCTTCCTTCCGGATCCCGCCTTTCTCCCACTTTTTCAAACGTCCTTTCTTTTGCCTTCTTGGTGGCACAAGGGACCGGCCATCCTCCCCTTGTCCTCTTTCTCCGCCAAGTGAGGTCTGATTTCGGTCACCGTCCGTATCCTGGCAATGTTTCCAAGTGAGGGGAGAAGGGTTAGTCATATGCCAAGTGAGGGAACGAGAGAGAGAGAGAGATAGAGAGAGAGAGAGAGAAGGCAAGGTAATAAAAGGGGGGCGGAAGAGGGGTCTAGAGGAGGAAGGAGGGAAAGGGGGGAGAGGGAAAAGGAGAGAGAGATGAGGAAATGAGGAGAGAGAAGAGAGAGAGAGAGAGAGAGAGAGAGAGAGAGAGAGAGAGAGAGAGAGAGAGAGAGAGAGAGAGAGA